TGATATTGTTTTTTTTTTCTTCTTAATCTGGCTGGAATGTTCTTTAATCAAAGTAATAATGTGTGATTGAAATCTAGCTAGTTGGATTAATAATGGAGGAATTAATGTACTTATGGGATAATATTAGAGTTTTGCAGTACTTATATTCACTTTTATCTGTCAGATTAATAATAATTACAGAACTYGAAAAAATTAACAGMAGCTTAGTTGTAAACTAAATAGGGTTAAAGTTGACAGGATTAACRGGTTCACTCCTCTKTTTTATTTTGAAAATAGTATCTAACATTATGTCGACATGTTCATAGCTTTAGSTGCTSTGCCACAGTGTTTGCCACCTTGTAAGGGYAATACAGTATGTCAATCCTATGAAGAGGGACCTCGGTGTATATGCAAGACCGGTTTCAAAGGACCAAATTGTGATCAAGGTATGGTCATTATCAAACTAATTTGCATCTCATCTTGAAAATTACTTATTGCTTTACTTATTGCATATCATCATAGCACATAAATTGGACAAAAGGCCGACAGCATTCAAATTGATTTTATTATGTGGTCTGTTGTGTTTCTGTCTTCTGCWGCACTATTTCAATTTTATTTTACACTTAAAAAAGATAAAGTGTTGTTGGAACATGGTTTTAAACACTTTTAAAATCCTGTCTGGTCTTTTTCAGTCTATCTTTTGAAGTGTCTCGTAATTGTCTCCTGAAATGAGCGACATTACAWGTGTACAAGTTTATGTGTCAACCCAACGAATTAATGCTTACTTCTATATGTGTTTTGACAGATATTAATGAGTGTCTCTCTGAAATACCRTATTGTAATGCTAGTGCGTACTGCACAAATGTCCCTGGGTCTTTTATTTGCCGCTGTAAGAGGGGATTCCAGGGAGATGGAAAAACTTGCACTGGTAAGCACATTATTTTGCCAGATGAAACTTTATGTTCGATTACCACAAAAGAAAACGTTTTGGTGAGTKCCCTACACYAACAAAAAGACGACATGATATAATTATAGATGTGCATTTATCTTTTCAAACAGATATAAATGAGTGTATCAAGGCAGATGTTAAATGTGGTGAAGGRTCAAAGTGTGTGAACACCCCAGGATCATATATCTGTCAATGTAAGGAGGGTTTCGAAGAASAAAATGGTCTTTGCWCAGGTATGGTTAATTTCCCATGTATTAATATATTGAACTGTCTGTTTCTCAATCCAATTGTTATTATAGGATAATGATTTCATTTACCTTCTCTGTGTTAGAAAACAGTGTTCAAATAGCACCTTAGTTTCAAAATCGTAGTTATTATTCTTTTTTTCATTCATTTTGTACATGTAGTAACATGTATTATATWTCCATTTTTACAAGATGTCGATGAATGTAAAGATCCTGAATTTACAAACTGTAATGAGAATGCATTATGTACAAATGTTATCGGCAGCTATACATGCCGCTGCAAAAGAGGTTTTAAAGGAGATGGATGGAATTGTGCAGGTACTTAACTCTTATTTCAAATCAATCAAATATTTAAAAAAATGAAATTAATAGTTTTTCTCACTTACTTTTGAACACATTAAAAACAAGATATTTATGCTTCGTCCTATCAGATAAAGATGAATGTAAGGATGGAACAGATGATTGCAGTATTAATGCTTCATGTAGTAACAATGTTGGTTCCTATAAATGCACATGCAACCATGGTTACACTGGAAATGGACAGATTTGCTATCCAGATATTCCTTYAACAGCACAAACAACAAAAGTAGCCATCACATCAGAGTTTACCACTGCAGAACCCACCAAACCACAGGCTACAACTGGAGAAGCAACCAAATCAGAGGTTACAACTGGAGAAGCAACCAAAATGAATGTTACCACTGCCCAACCAACCAAAGTAGATGTTACCACTGCAGCACCAACCAAAGTAGATGTTACCACAGCACAACCAACCAAAGTAGATGTTACCACTGCAGCACCAACCAAAGTAGATGTTACCACAGCACAACCAACCAAAGTAGATGTTACCACTGCAGCACCAACCAAAGTAGATGTTACCACAGCACAACCAACCAAAGTAGATGTTACCACTGCAGCACCAACCAAAGTAGATGTTACCACAGCACAACCAACCAAAGTAGATGTTACCACTGCAGCACCAACCAAAGTAGATGTTACCACAGCACAACCAACCAAAGTAGATGTTACCACTGCAGCACCAACCAAAGTAGATGTTAGCACTGCACAACCAACCAAAGTAGATGTTA